ATATATAGATACCCGGGAAAAATTAGAAAATGTAGGAAAGGTAAAAAGAGCCCAGTAAATAACCTAAGGTATCAACTATAAGTACAAATAAAATACATAAGAAGATTAAGCTCAGTAAGACTATAGTGAATGAAAGAAGTTGTCCACAAACAGCACATATCGTTTGTCATTCTATTTATATGAAGTTCAAGAATATGGAAAATAAGCCTATAGTTTAAAACATGGATTACGCTGGTAAGAGGTTGGGGATAAAGGTACTTGCTGCCAAGCCTAATGACCCAAGTTCAATTTCTGGGATCCTCATGGAGGAAGGAGAGAACTGACTTCTGCAAGTAGTTCTCTGACATCCACATGTGTGCTGTGGCATGTGCATGTCTAAACGTATGTATATACACATGCAAACTAAATAAAGAAAATGTAATAAAAAATTTAAAAAGGATCAGCTCAATGGTGAAGTGGGTGTGTAGATAGATTAGAAAAGGGGGCTAGGCATGGTGGCAGGTGGATCTCTGTGAGTTTGAGGCCAGCCTAGTCTACATAGCAACTTCCAGGACAGCTAGAGGTACAAGGAGACCCTGTCTCAAAAAAAAAAAAGGGAGTAAGGAAACTTTCTAGGACATGGATTTAGGTTACGCAAGTACATTCATTTGCAAATGTATGTGCATTTAATTATATATCCATGACAGAAAAAATTATAAACAAATATGGGTGGTAAGAAGATTACTTAATGGGTAAAGACAGGAGAGAACCAACTCCTGTAAGTTGTCCTATGACACCCAAAAGCCATCATGGTGGGATTAAACACACACACACACACACACACACACATGCTAAATAAATGTAGAAAAATTAAACAAATATGAACTATGGTTAATCATATATACACTGATGTATTTAGAGGACATAATGTCTGAAATTTATTATGAAATGATTACAAAATAAGTAAGATGGACTGCTGTGCTAGAAGGCAGAGGGATAGGCAAATAGAATGCTATCATAGACTGGTGGGAGGGCTACAAAGTGTCCATTCTCATTCTCTACTATTGTTGGGGTTTTATTTTAGATTTTTAATTATGTGTCTGTGTATTGGTATATGCACATGACTGCAGAGGCTCAAACAGGCCACAGGTGTAGGATAACCAGGAGGTTGGACTGACTTAGGCAGTTGTGAGCCACCTGACATAGGTGCTGGGAATGGAATTTGGATCCTTTGGAAGAACAGCAAATGCTCTTAAGCACTGAGCCATTTCTCCAGCCTCCTCTATGTTGTTTTATGTTTAAGTTTTTTCAAAATAAAACACGAGACTAAGGAATCAAGACAACACTATCCATAAAAATAAAGAAACTAGCCAGGGATGGTGGTGCACACCTTTAATCCGAGCACTCTGGAGGCAGGGGCAAGCAGATCTGTTTCTGTGAGTTGGAAACCAGTCTGGTCTACATAGTAAGTTCCAGGCCAGCTGCGGCTACAGGGAGACCCTGCTTCAAAAAAGACAATACTACTACTAATACTACTACTACTACTACTACTACTACTAATAATAATAATAATAATAACTGTGCAATGGACTGATTTGAAGGAAGATATCACATAACTTGCTATGACTAAAATATGAAATGTCTTTTACTGGCTCAAGTGTTTGAATGCTTGGTCCCAGCTGGTGGCACTGTCTGAGAAGATTGGAAACCCTCAGGGGGTGAGGCCTAAATGAAGGAATTGGAGTGCTGGGTGTAGGGTTGAAAGTTATACCTAGGCCCCATTTCCATTCTAAGTTCTCAGCTTCCTGGTCAGTGCCATGTAGCAAACTGGCCCCCTCACACTCCCAGTACTATGCTGGACTGGCCTTCTAAATTGTATCAGGTATTTTGTCACAGCAACAAGGAAAATTAAACAATGCATAACTATTGTGAAGTTTGAAAAGAAGTAAGAGGCCCGGTGTGGTGGTGCATGTCTTTAATCCCAGTATTCAGGAGGCAGAGGCTGGCGGATCTCTGTCAGTTCAAGGCCAGCCTGGTCTACATAGTGAGTTCTAGGCCAGCTGGAGCTACAAAGGAGACCCTGTCTCAAAAAGACAAAAAAAAAAAAAAAAAAAAAAAAAAAAAAAGAAACATTTAAGAAGTAATATAAGTAACAAGATGTTAATTTAAACTGAAAAAAAGAATAAAATGCAATGGAAATGTTATATAAACTTTCAATATGAAATCCTGAGAGGATCTCCTACCTCAAAGACTTAAGAGAATCAAACATACATTAAGAAATTAGCACTTAGGCCTGTGAGAAAGCTCATCAGGTATCCTAGTTTCTTCATTTCTGTGACAAAATACTCTGACCAGTACCAACTTGGGGAGGAAAGGGTTTATTTAAGCTTACATCTCCTGGGTTACAGTTCATCAGGGAAGGGAGCCCAAGGTAGGAACTCAGGGCAGGAACCTGGAGGCAGAAGCTGGAGCACAGGCCATGGAGGAACGCTGCTTAATGGCTTGCTCCCCTGGCCCCTGCTCAGCCTGCTTTCTTATGCAACACAGGCCCACCTGCCCAGGGGTGGCACCACTCACAGTGGGCTGGGGGACCCGCCCACATCACTCATCAAGAAGATGCCCCTCAGACATGGCCAGAGGCCAGTCCAATAGAGGAAATTCCCTGATTGAGGCTCCCTCAACCCAGGTGTGTCAAGTTGACACTAAAGCTATCTAGCACAATTGACCCCTTGTCAACCTGATACAAATACATCACTATTAAACCATAACCTTTCCAATTCTTGTCCCCAAGATACGATGTTAGCATTAATATCACAACATAAGACAGTACAACCTTAAAAAACCCAGCCCCCCCCCAAATCCAAACACTTAAAAGTCCATAGTCTCTTTTAAAAGTCTCTTAAGTGTGGGAAGGCTTCTGTAAAATCCAAAATAAGTACTGTCTTATTTCAAAGGGAAGAATCGGGCACACCTAAGCAAAACTAAAGTCCAGCAAAGTAGCTCAAGCTTGGACAGCTGGGATTCACTCAATGATCTTCTAGACTCCAAAGGATTCTGGCAGCTCCACTTCTCTGACTCTGCAGTCCACAGCACACACAGCTTGTCTCGTAGGCCCAGGCCAGCTCCAATCCACACCTATTCCTGTCCTTTGTGGTCATCCCACTGTCCCAGCATCTCCAAAACACTACAGTCTCCACTGAAACTGAGGCTACACCTTCACCAATGGCCTCTTCTTGCCTCTCAGGGTGCAAAGCCTCAGACTTTCTCCATGACCCCTTCAATTCTGGGGACCTCACTGCAACGGAAGCTGTACTTTCACCTATGGCCTTTCCTGGCCTCTCACAGTGCCAAGCCTCAGCTGCTCTCTGTGACCCCTTCAGGCTTTCAACATCAGAACCAGGCAGGAGACACTTACATATTACCAAGTCCTGCTTCCAGACTGAGATAGAGGTGGGGGTCCCCTCTGTGTGCTGACCCTGAGGAGATACTTCCCAGAAGACTTCACCACAGTGATGCTGGTCTCTTATAACTTACAGCTGATTTTTCAGCCCCAGCTAAACAGCATCAATTGTCCCAGTAAAGCAAAGGTTTTACTTCAGGTTCTGGTCTCTTTCTCAATCACAACTGATTTTTCAGCCCCAGCCCACCAGAACCCACAGATTCTCAATTCAAAATATCACACAAACAACCTTGATAGTCTCTGCTTCCCTTTGAAGCTTCACAAGCCAGGCCTCCATTGTCTACAACTCTTTCAGGACTGTTCCAAGATCCACAGCAACAAACTCTGAGCACTAAGTGGCTTTTCTAGTCCAAAGTTCCAAACACTTCCACAATCCTTAAAATAAGGTCAGGTCTGTCACAGCAATTCCCCACTTTCTGGTACCAATTTCTGTTCTAGTTTGTCTCTTCATTGCTGTGACAAAATACTCTGACCAATACCAACTTGGGGAGGAAAGGGTTTATTCGGCTTACATCTCCTGGGTCACAATTCATCAGGGAGCCCAAGGTAGGAATTCAGGGCAGGAACCCTGAGGCAAGAGCTGGAGCATGGGTCATGGTGGAACGCTGATTACTGGCTTGTTCCCCTGGCCTGTGCTCAACCTGCTTTCTTATACAACAGAGGACCACCTTCCCACTCACAGTGGGCTGGGCCCTCCCACATCACACAACAATCAAGAAGATGCCCCACAGACATGGCCACAAGTTAGTTCAATGGAGGCAATTCCCCAATTGAGGCTCCCTCAACCCAGGTGTGTCAAGTTAACACTAGAGTTATCCAGCGCATCAGGTAAAGGTGTTTGCTGTCAAACTTGAAGACCCAAGTTTGAACCCTCAGGACTAATATGGTAGAAGGAGAGATCCAACTCCTACAAGCTACCCTCTGACCTCCACAAGTGTACTACGTATGTGGGTGCACGCGCGCACACACACACACAAATAAATGTAAAAAATATTCAAATCAGTATTTGTTCAATGTATTTCCACCTGAAGTATAAGTCAGTTTTAGTTCATGAATAAAGTCTACATCATCAGAATGCGTTTGACTGCAGAAAGACTAAAGATGCATGAAAAGCATGATTTGAACAGAGCTTTGTTTTCAACACATTTTCAGGGAATGAACATTTTTAGCATGACTTGTCATAGTACTTTACCTGCCATCTCTTCCAAGGGCAAAAATGATGCCATCTTTCTGGAATGGAAGCAGTTTTGCTCTGAGTTTGTCAGGTAAAAAGTCCAGTTGTGTATATGATTCACTTGTTAAAGAAGAAATCTGACGGGGAGGAGCCTTTTTTATGTTACCAACTGTAGGCATCGTGACCCTAAAAACAAGGAACGACAAAAAAATGGAGAGGTGGGAAAGCCATTATTTTAGCATGTTATAGAATCCCACATACACCACAGCATTGCAGTCCTTATGCCTAGCTTCAATACTGTCTATACATAGACTAGCTAAATCATATTTCCCAAAGAAGCTGCTAAGAAGACTCAAAGGACCAAGTTCAAAAGCAACAACCTATCCCACTATTCACAAACAGCTCCTCTGTTTCATCTTGAGCCATAATAAAGCCACATCCATAGGAGGCAGAGGCAGGCGGATCTCTGTGAGTTCAAGGCCAGCCTGGTCTACATAGCAAGTTCCAGGCCAGCTGAGGCTTACAAGTAAGACCCTGTCTCAAAAAAAGACCAAAATAAATAATAAATAAATAGCTACAACCATTTCAAAGAAATAAGTGAAATGCTGAAAATTATAAATCAACCGGATTTTCACAAACTGAACAAATTTTAAGCCTTTTGAACCTTTTCCCTGCTTGTAGTGGTGCTGTGAATTGAACTCAGGGCCTTGTAAAGGCAAAAAAAAAACAAAAAACCCACATGT